TTGAGACAGAGTCTCACTCTGTTGCCCTGGCGAGTGCCATGGCATCTGCCTAGCCAAACTCAAACTCCTGGGCTCAAGCCATCCTCCTGCCTCAGCCTCCTGAGTAGCTGGGACTATAGGTGGCGCCACGATGCCTGGGTAATTTTTCTATTTTTAGAACAGATGGGGTCTTGCTCTTCCTCAGGCTGGTCTCCAACTCTTGAGTTCAAGCAATACACCTGCCTCGGCCACTCAGAGCGTTAGGATCACAGGCATGAGCCACTGCACCCAGACCCTAAGCTCTCGTAATAGTCCATTTTTGGCAGTAGATTCTGTTGGATTTTTCAGACACACAAAGATAGTAATTTTATTAAATCTAATTCCCCCCCATCTTATTTATTGCTTTGAACTGATAACATTAAATAATAGTGTTATGAGTGGGCATCTTTCTTTTTTTTTTAATTCGAGAGATTCCACGTTATACTTTTTATTAAGTATGTATCAAGCTCTAAGCAATATGCAAGATATTAATAGCAATTATGTAAGATATGGCTTTTCTGTTTTAATAAATTAATTTATTTTTCAGACATAATGACAGTAGATATTTTCAAGGTACTTGTGATAATTTGATACATTTATAAAATCAAATCAAGATAATTAGTGTATCTGTCACCTTAAATATTTATCTCTTCTTTATGCTAGGAACATACAAATTATTCTCTTCAAGCTATTTTGAAAAGTACAATTGATTGACATTAACTATAGTCTCCCTCCTGATCTATAGAACACCAGGTCTCATTTCTTCTAAGTGAAGAATGGGTATCTTTCTCTTTTTCTTGACACTAGTAAGCATTTCACTGTTGTGATGCCACCAAATGGAATATTGGCTGTGACTTTAAGACAGATATTCTTTAACATACTACAGGAGTTCACACATGTCCCAGTTGGCTAACGGTATTTTAGTCAATGTTATTAAATGTCTTTTGGACATCTATTGGGATGAGCATATGCTCATTTCATCTTTCATGCATAAATATGATAAATTATATTAATAGATCTCCTATATGTAATTATCCTTTTGCTCCCAAGATAAATTTTATTTGCTTGCTATATATTATTTTTTAGAACATATGACTTGCTAATGTAATTTTTTAGGCTTTAAAGTCAATTTTTTTCAAGTGTGATAGGTCTATCATTTTCTTTTCTTTTTATGGTACTTTGTTCAATTTTGGTATCATAGTTAAAATAGTTTAATAAAATGAGAGAGAAAAGTTCACTTATTTTCCATGCTCTAAAAACTATTTGTTACAGGGAGCTTTGAAATAATTCTGTCATCACTTCTTTATTATCTACATAAATAGAGATGAGAAGTGACATAGAAAATCTGGAACAGCTGACAGTTTCCCAGATTCCTTACAACTTTAAAATGTATTTTTTAACCCTAGCAATTGCAATATTGTAATAAGTGTGAACTTTCATTTGATATACTGAGACTAAGAAAAATTTTGACCAGTAACCTTTGTCCATTGGAAAAGAGTCAATGTATAATTAGATATTGGTTGTATTAATAAGTAACTATAGAAATGCAAAGTTTTAAAAGGAAATTTTTCCCTATAAATTAAAAAACAAGAAAAGGAATTATGGCATCCACTATTAGACAGGTATGGGGAAGTCCATCCTCAAAAACATGGCTTAGGGAGCATAAATTGGTTTAAGCTTTCTGAAGGATATTTTAGCAAAACTTATCAAAACAGCTTTTCCAATATGCACATTTTATGGCCCAGAAAGTACACTCTTAGAAAAAATCATTGATAATATATTCCAAGATTTCACCACAATGACTTTCATCAAAACATTACATATAATGGTAAAAAATTAGAAGAGCATAAATGTGCCCAAAGAGGAGACTGGTTAAATACGTTTATTCAAATATATCTATTGAAAGGAACTTTATACAGCTGTTATAATTAAGACAGAGAAATATTTAATGAAATAGACATACCACATGTCTTAAATATATTTGAAGTGGAAAAACGGACTATATACCAACCTGTTGGCAGTGGTTATCTCCGGATTTGGAGCTTGCAGGTGATTTTGTTTTCCTTATCTGTGTTTCCTACATTTCTACAATGAATAGACATTTCCTTTGTAAAGCAGAACAGTCACAAAAGTGGACTGTAATATAGTCTTACTTTACAGAATTATTTTCTTGCTCCAAGCATAAATACACTCATAAAAGTTTTGCATTTTTTACATTCAGACCTGGCTATGCAAATAAATATGGGAATGTATGAATACAACGGGAAAAGTGGCTACAGATTAAAGCCAGAGTTTATGCGGAGGCCTGACAAGCATTTTGATCCATTTACTGAAGGCATCGTAGACGGGATAGTGGCCAACACTTTATCTGTTAAGGTATGTACACCTCTATCACAAAATTGTTTCTAACAAAAGTCTTCAATATTATCTACTTTGCATAAATAAATAGCTTAGTCATTAAAAATTTAGTAGCTAGCAAAGATTCTACTTCCCTCATACATTTTGTTCCTTTATGGATCAAATCTGCATTAAAAGTTTTCACAGGTCACAGGAATGAAATAAAGAGGCTGAACCACATTCTGAATATGTAAAAATCAGACCCTAAGACAACAAATTGAGTTGGTGGGACTCACTGTAGCCAGACCTCTCTTTTGTTGTAAATATCCCACCATGAAATTTACATGAAAATTAGTGACTCATCTTGGAGAGACCTTCTAGATCTTTTTCCTCCATTAGTTCTGAGCAAAATTATAGAAAAAAAAAAAATTCTCTCAATAAGTTATTAGTATTGAACGGAAGCTTTCAAGTGACCATAACATGGTTTTTGAAAATCTACCAGCATATTCAGGAATTTTAAAACATGTATTAATGATCTTAAATAAAAGAGTTGCTTTATTAAATATATATATGACCCTAAAAAATTAATTCTAAATTATTTTCTCCAGTCTTTGAACTTGATGTTACAGAATATATAAATTTTTTTAGCTGTCAGAAAATAGTTTTAATCCTATGAAGGGGAAATTCATTTTTATAAAGAGTATTTGCATAGATTTTGTAAGCCCTTGACTGTTAAAGCTTTAAAGTATCGTTTCTTTTCTGTTTAACTGAGTAACTATGGAACTAAGAAACTTTTTCACTGGACATAAATGCAATTTGCAGATTGACCTTAAACCAAGGCATTTGAAAAACTATATAAAATACTTTCTGTAATAGTTTCACTAACTTCTATCTACCCTAAGCAGTTGAGCCCATTTTTTACTTTAAAACTTACGTGACTTTACAGCAAAGATTTAAAAATAAAATTTCAATAATGTGTCTCATAATTATACATTTTGAAATTATTTTAAGCTACATCTATAAAGAGTGAAGTTGGCAGAATTAGATCTTCATGATTATGTTTATTTTAGGAAATATTTTTCAGAAAAGGATATTTAATTTCTGTCAAGTGTAATTAAGATAAACTCATAATCATCATGTGCTGATAGGATGCTATTTTCAGAGTCTTTGCCCATTGTTGTTACAGTTGGGCCAAATTAATAATATTTTTGCTTGTTTGCAGATTCATCTTGTTTTGAACATATTGCTTGCTTATTTATTTTGTCTTGAAAATTCTGTGACAGTGTAAGCCATTACAAAACAATGGCATAGAGGCAGGAAAGTAAGTTGAGTTGTGAAGGGGAAATAGCTGAATCCCAGAGAAGTGTAACCTGCTGCTTACTTCTAGACTGGAGAGGCCGTTCTAGAGCTATCAGTCTCCCCTGAATGAACAGACCACACCACAGTAGAATCCTGCCTTTAACATTACAGCTAGAGCCAAGATACAGCTCACATCTGTCCGGTTGTGCCTTTGTCTTGATCTTCTAGCGTAGACATAATAGTGGCAGAATGGACTTATGAGCTCACAGATGCTGTGTCATCCTGTTTTACTGATGAGAACATTGCAAGTTTAGTGTCATTATTTAGTGTAGGACTGTACTTTGATCAAACATCTTAAGCATACAAAATCTGTGGTGAATCTGAATTCCCAATGGGACTCAAATAACTTGTATGTTTCAAACATGTGAAATGCCTGCTACATGGTTCTCAAGTTAAACAAAGAGATCGTTTCTGGCAGACCCCATGCACCAAGCCAAATAGAACATCCAGAACAAACAGAAATGGGTTGTCCTAGGACAAATTCACAGAGACTTCCTGATGACTCTGACTTGTTCAGAATTTCTAATGGCATCATCATGTAGCTGCCTTTGACTTCACTAGGCCTCTAATGGCTGTTCTCATGCCACCAGGGTGTCTGATTTCTGGTCCAGCCATCATCTTGGAAATTCTGCCCCCTTTCATGGACTTGAGCTCAGAAAGCTCTTGACCAGCAGGCAACTTTGTTCTGACTACACAACCCAGATTCATTCACCAGGTTTGCTATCTCAGCACTTGCTCTCTGATGTTCCTCTCTCTGCTGTAAAGCACAGCAGGAGATCTGTTTGCCTCCATCTACCTTTATGACGGCTGACAGATCCCTCAAATTTTGAAAATAGGGTTCGAAAAAGAGACAGACGTGGAAGACGTTTTGCAAATACGTAATTTTAACGTCTCTTTTATCTACATAATATCCATTAGTTCTGTAGGTACACAAAAGATCCCCGCAATTGTGGAGAGAACTAACCAGGTGAGGTTATTGGTAATGGTAAACAGGTGCCCATGGCTTAAAGTGGGTATGTGCTCATTTATCCCTCCTGAGCTACTCTGTCTTATTAATTGGTTCTTTCTAACCTCACCATTTTCAATATTCCTGTACCAACTCAAGTGAAAGAGAAATCATATTTCTCCTCTTGCTTCCATTTCATTTTGCTTATAATTCAACATTCACCAGCAGCACTTTTACCTCTTTAAAGTATTCTCTTATGTCTGTGTTACTCATATATCAATACTGCCTTCATTTATTTATTTATTTTCTAGATTATTTCAGGTCAGTTTCTTTCTGATAAGAAAGTGGGGACTTATGTGGAAGTGGATATGTTTGGTTTGCCCGTGGACACAAGGAGGAAGGCATTTAAGACCAAAACATCCCAAGGAAATGCTGTAAATCCGATCTGGGAAGAAGAACCTATTGTGTTCAAGAAGGTTGGTCTCACGTTCTTGACATAAGACGTAACTGCATTTTCCAGGTGTTGTACACTGAGAAAATAATGAAATGAGGAATTATTTGTTGTTTAATTTGGAAATTTACACATTTGTAAAGCAGTAACATTTTGAAAGCCATCCTGAAAATTCTTCAAGATCTCTATTAAACACTTGTTTGGATTTTCAGAATTGTGTTATAAATCAATGTATTCTAGTATGCCTCATTTAGAAGACTAGCAAAATGTATAAATTTAATTCATAATGTCTCATCATACAAGTGAAAAATGATACATTTTCATTAGAACTCAAATGAAGTAGAGAGGGAAGAAGGGAATAACATGGTGGCTGAGCGAAAGGAAGTCCATACTTCCTTTAAAAAGAGTAGTAATTAAACTCCCTTGAATCTTCAACCACTGGCAGCTGGTCATTCTATCCTGCCTGGTTTCTGTCTAATAAAGTTTAAACCTTTCATGCTCAACTGGACCTTTCTCTCTGTCTTCACCAAAAAACAAATCTTCATGCATTGTTTATCAAATAAAGGAAGAAAATAAGCCCAGGAGAAAGTAGAGTAGACATTCTTATCCTACCCTTTGCTTTTATCTGACTGAAATATCTACAAAGGCAGTCTTCTCCAAAGAGAATATCTATATGAAAGCTCTCTGTGCTCTGAGATTTTTTATATGTTAACTGGGTTTAGTAATAGTGTCTACTTCATAGGGTTATTATGAACATTCCATAAGTGAATATATTAGCAACAGTTTCAAAATGTCTGGAGCAATGTTTGCTGCTGTTATTAAATTTTTAGAGATAGTTGATCTCATGTTCTTGACATGATCTATAATTGCATACTCCAGATGTTTCACACTGAGCAAAGAAATGAGTAATTACTGTTGCTTAATTTGGGAATTTACAAATTTATAAAGCAACCATATTTTGAAAGCTAACCTGAAAGTTACTTTTTTGTGTTTATTTGTGCTATGAAGGTACAAAAGTTATTTGCTTTGAAAACCTAAAACTAAGTGTTTGCGTGGTGATAAGCCCACTAACTGTTTGTGTTTAAACGTAGAACTTTTGTCATTTCCACATAGAAAATGTTCATGTAAAAATAAAATGGCCTGCATTTTGAATAATGGCCTCACTGGGGCAAGGTGATAAAATATAGATGAAGCCCTGTCTCTGTTAACCCATGTCTTCTCCTTCTGCAAATTTAACTTACAGAGCAAGAGCTTAACTTTTTGTCTAAATTGGCTAAGTAGAAACTTCTACATGGATTTGGAAAAGCAGGGCCTGATTGCATAATACCTTCCTAACTCTTTCTTAGAATTGCTCATTCTTATAACCAGGTGTGTCCTTAATGTCCCCATAGGTGGTTCTTCCTTCTCTGGCCTGCTTGAGGATAGCAGTTTATGAAGAAGGAGGTAAATTTATCGGCCACCGGATCTTGCCAGTGCAAGCCATTCGGCCAGGTATGGATAGTGTGGTGAGAAACTTTTTATCAAAGTTGTAAAGAAAATCATTTCTGCCATACATGATTGTTAAAGAATGATTTAGACAGCCAGGTGCAGTGGCACACACCTGTAGTCCCAGCTACTTGGGAGGCTGAGTCAGGAGGATTGCTCGAGCCCAGAAGTTCAAGGCTATAGTGTGCTATGATCACACCTGTGAATAGCCACTGCTCTCCAGCCTGGGCAACATAGTGAGACTCTGTCACCAAAATAAAAGAAAAAGAAAAAAGAATAATTTAGGAAACCATTTGCTGCTTTGTAATTCCGTTATGTAACAAGGGCTATGGCATCATTTAAATGACAGTTACATGTTTTTGTGACATGCTATGGAATATTAGTCAACTCTTGTCTTAATGATTACGTGTAACAATCTGAAAACTTATATACAAGTATTTATCTTCATGCTCACAGGTCTCTGGGTGGGCAGGGTTTGGCTGATCTAGCCTGAGCTCAGCAGCACAGCTGTGCTTCAAGCTGTGGGTTGGGTTTAGGCCTGTTCCACACGTACTGATTCTGCGGCACAGGCTGCAGGGATAGTGGCACCCAAAATATGGACTTCTCTTGGCAGACCACTAGAATGTGAAGGGCAAGCTTAACTCTGCATTTTAAGCTTCTGCTTGTGCCATGCCACTAACGTCCCGTTGGCCAAAGCAAGGGATATGCTAAATCCAAGTCAAGAAATCACGCCAAGTATAACTCTATTATAGGGGGTGAATTCGGGCCAATAATTCAATCTATGGCATACGATTCTGAATTCTCTTTTGGGAGTAAGATATGGTTGGAAAGGAAAAAAATCAGAATCAACGATGGTTTCCTGTCTGATGAGAAAAATAAGACCTTATCACTGAAAACCATGTGATTAAAATGAAAAAGAAGAGGCTTGGTTGTCATACAAAGTCACCTAAAATAAATACTTCCATCACATACATATTCATGGTTATAACTGACATTGTGAAGAAAGCATGTGATACACAGTATTATTGTCACCCTCTAGGCTATCACTATATCTGTCTGAGGAATGAAAGAAACCAGCCTCTGACGCTGCCAGCTGTGTTTGTCTACATAGAAGTCAAAGACTACGTGCCAGATACATATGCAGGTAAACGACCTAACACAAGGGATATTTCCGTCTGGGTCGTCCATATTTTTGTGGTTTAGTGGAAGGAAAACTGGACCAAACAAAGGCAGGAGATTCTGGTCTCAGAATCACCTCTATTTCTGTATGTATACTTAGAGATAAATTGCTGACGCTTTTGTGAATAAATTTTAATTTAATTTATTTAATGTATATCCTAATACCTCAGTTTTGAACATACCTATTTACAGGTAGTCTTATTCTCATGGGCCCAGCATTGCCTAACCCATGCTACCTGGTACTACAGTTGTCTAGATCTATACAATAAATTTGCCTTCACCCAGTTTTAAAACCCTGATCCTTTTCATGGGCAGAGTCCTAAGTTTGGAAAAATTAACTTACAATGATGTCATCCTGGAATGATAAATGTAAATGTTTATAGTGCCAAGTGGCCTCGGTGTAAGACACTGAAGAGCGGTGGGGACTATGGCAAACTTGGAGCACACGCCCCATCCAAAGATGGCAGCCATAGTGTACTTTGGCTAGCCATGGCCATGCGAGTGAACCCACATTGCCAAATCTTTGGGTTGTTTTTGCAGGCTTTTTACGCAAAATATCTCCATTCATGAAACATCATATGAGCCAAATAAGACAAATGCGTGGGCTATTGCTGGAATGGATGGAACTCTGAAAAAGAAGCTAAAGAATCGAGAGTGTTGATAGACTGGAGTTGTAGCCTTTCCAGTTTGGCTCTCAGGGCTGAGCTCTTCTGATTTCTCTCTTCCTGAGGTTTCAGCAGAGTTCTGACTCTTGTCCATTTCCAAAATGTTAGATAGATGAGTAGACACTTATGTGGGTAGATGGAAGCATGAAAGATGGATGATGAATGGGTAGATGGATGGGTGGGTAGATGGATAATGAATGAATGTATGAATGGAGGGCTGGATGGATGGACAGATGACAGAGTGATCATCAGTAACTCCAGGACCTTTGACCTAAAATGCCTCTTCCCTATTTAGATGTGATCGAAGCTTTGTCAAACCCAATCCGATACGTGAATCTGATGGAGCAGAGAGCTAAGCAACTGGCTGCTTTGACCCTGGAAGATGAAGAAGAAGTAAAGAAAGAGGTAAGAGAGTGGTCTAGGGGTATGCATGTCATGAAGCGTGATTTCCTCACCTACTTGCTGGCTTTGCCTCACTGACATCACACCTCAGAAGAAGAAACAACACATTGGAGCAACACTTTCACATAGCTCAGCATCATGTTACAAAACATCTCTATGGTGGACTAAATTCTTCATGTTTCACTCTCTTTCGTCATTCTGTGAAGACGAACATCTTATATTGTGATCACATTAAACAGCACATATCATGCTGTTTCAGATGAAAGTTTCTATATGATTTCATGCTAATGAAAGGCGATTAAGGCAGTTAAAGAAGATAATCATCAAGTCATTTAGTGTTTCTCTTTTTCATCAAATGGAATAATAATTACAGTCTGTGTTTTAACCTTTTATTTTTACTTAATACAAATATTTTCCCTATCATTAAGTATTCTTCTACTACATGACTTTTAATGACCCAATAATCCCCAGTTACTGGTTATTTGCAATGCATCTCTATTTTGAACAGATCTTCAATGAACATCATGTAAATACATATTTTAGCATTATCTATGATTATTTCCTTGTTTTTTTGTATAGAACTTTAGAAATTTTTGAAAATGTTTGATAAATGAAACAATGAAAAGCACTCGGGCCCCTGCTTGAATTTAATGAGGGATTAGTCTAAGCAATCACTGACTGCACGAAGTCCACAGAAGGAGGGGTGTATATGCACTTGAAGCAGACGCTGTTGGTGCCCCGCTCAGATTTCCTTCTGGGGGCTGCTGCACCCACTGCCACAGGGCTGCTGCAGGAGTTAACTAAAAGCACTCCCTGAGGGCTGGCCTGGGCTGATGGGAACCACCTTGCCTGGAGATGCCTGGCATGTTACTCCTTAGAGGGGGTGAACCACGCCCAGTGGCTGACAGATCCAGGAGAGTAACAGCTCGGGGTGCTTCTGGGTGAGCAACTTCCGTGTTGAAGTTCATGCTCCAGAGCTCCCCAGGGGATCAGGCTGAGGCTAGAGTTCGCCTGAGACCACATTTCCCCTTATCTTTTTCCTGTCTCTTAGCTTGCTTCCTCATTCCCCTACAGTTTTCTCCTGAGAACATTCTCACAATAAACCATATGCCCAAGAATCCCCAGGTCCAGTTTTGCTTCTAGGGAAACCAAGAATGCTAGATAGCTTGCTGTTTTATAATTAAGTTCAAGAATGAGTGCCCTTTTTGAATTTTTTTCCTTGCCAACTAGAATTTAAAGATTTGACAATAGTTACATCTTTAATTCTGGTATTTCTTCAGTGCTAATACTGCTTTTTTCTTTCCCATGACCTTTAAAAAGATTAAGTAAGACTAGAGAATTCTATGAATTTCTCACTTTGCTCATATGG